GAGAAAGGATAATCCTATTTTGTTCCAACTTGGGAAATCCCAATATTTTCCTCAGTTCTAGGTCAGATGCGAAAATGGACAATATCGATCCACTCCATCAAGTACCTCCCCCACAAAGGGTCAAAATTTCGAATATCCACGATTTTATTCAGACTTGGTAAATCTCAATATTTTTATCAACAGATCCAGATCTGTTTTAAAAATGGTGCAGATCGGACCATTCCTTCTGGTACCTCCCCCACAAAGGGTCAAAGTATCGATTATAAATTCCGAAGTAAGTAATACGACTCTCTTCATATTTCACACATCTTATTATTTCTACCAACACAAGATCTGCTGTGTGTGGGATATATCGGTCCACTCCTTCTGGTACCTCCGCTACAAAGGGTACAAATTTTGAATGACCGTGAATCTCATAAAATGCGAAAATAACATCCGATTCCATTCAGACTGGGTACATTTCAATATTTTTCATCAACACAAGATCTGTTATAGAGATGATAGAGATCGGACTATTCCTCCTGGTACCTCCCCCACAAAGGGTCAATGTCTTGAATAACCAAAACGATTATAAAATCGAAAGTAAGAATACGGTTGTCTTCATATTTCACACGTGCCATTATTTCTACTAACACAAGATCTGCTGTGAATATGGAATATATCGGTCCACTCCTTCTGGTACCTCCCCCACAAGGGGTCAAAATTTTGAATATACATGAAGCTTATAAAACTCTAAATTTGAGCATATTTCTCACATCCCATTATTTCTACTAACACAACATCTGCTGGAAGATGGAATATATCGGTCCACTCCTTCTGGTACCCCTCCACAAGGGGTCAAAATTTTGAATATCCATAAAAAAAATGAACATCCGATTCCATTAAGACTTGGTACATCTCATTATTTCCAACAACACAAGATCTGTTATAAAGATGGTAGAGATCGGACCATTTCTTCAGTCGGCTATATCTGGTACCTCACGCAGATTTTAACATTTCCCAAAAGACAGATTTTAACATTTTCAGGTATCTCATATAAAGTGAAGGAATTAGTCGATATAGTCCATAATATCGAATATCCGCTGGGGTATACATCTGTCGGCAATACCGATTGATACTCTTTAACTTGTTTCTGCCAATAAAGGTCCAATAAAAATACTTCTTTCAATAGATGGTAAAGAAAAGAAGACAGTATGGAACATGATCCTGTAATATAAGGTTTCAAGACCTTTTCAATGTGGGAAAATTATAAAAGATTCTCCGTCTTTGGAGACACATTCAAGAGTATGAGGTCTTCAAAAAAAAAAAAAAAAAAAAAAAAAGTTGCCATCGCTTTCCTACAGAAGTTTCCATCCCTGGCCAATGCCACAGGTTACTACTGTGGCATTTAATGTTTATGCAAATGCAAATGGTGGTAATAGCCGACAATAAATTGTCACTATTAATGGACAAGGTGTAAAGATAGGTTCTGGGAATCAACATGACCATTTCCTGCATTCCCTTTGCAAAACTAAGGTATTTACACCAATCTCGTATTGTGGCGCCCAATGTAAAATTAAATTTCGAAAAAAAACTTCAATAAAATAAATCCAGGAGAGGAACCCCTTTCCCAAGTTGTTTGCATTGGCCAAACATCACGGCTAAAAGTGAATACTGTTAGTTCCTGTGTAAAGCCTGATTTTGAAACAGCATCCATTCCAAAGAACAATTCATTCCAAAAACAAAGAACGAACATCTTCTCTCACCAAACTATGATGCCACTCCACTATTGTCTTGAACTGTCGATTGTCGGGCAGAACCAAGGCACAAACGCCAGTTGACTATTGTCGCATTGCATTCGGAATAGTGAAAATAAATGGCAGCAACAATGCCAGCGCCTGATGATGCACACGAAGAGCTCCAACGAAGGTATGAATGGCTTGCCTGTATTCCAAAAACAGCAGAGGACATTTAACCCATACTCAGATGTGTATGTGTCTCTGTGTGTATGGGTTGCAAGTTACATATGTTGCTGTGTGAAACGTGAACAATAAATTGTTGGAAAACTTCATCTTCTGTTACATTTCTGTTTCAGTCTGTCTGTCGGTTTGTTTGTTGCTGTGTTTCATTGTCGTCATTACTCTGTTTGTTTGTCGTTTTGTTCACTTAGTTCGTTTGCCAAGCACCCAGAAAAGTGCAATCACGTTCGGTTAGGGGGGAACATTTGGGGAAGGTTTAAAAAAGTAAGAAAAATCAAAAATCTCACAGATCCTAGTGCCAGAAGTCTACAGACCCTCAGGGGGTCTCTGAGATTTTTTTGGACAAAAAAAAACCCCGGTAGGGTCTGTAGACGAAAAAAATTGACAGACCCTCAGGGGTTCTGTGAGATTTTTCTATAGACGAAAAAAAGGATACAGACCCTCGGGGGTCTATGAGATTCTTTCTAGACGAAAAAGAGTCTACAGACCCTAGGGGGTCTGAGAGATATATAGACGGGCTGCAGGCCAGGGAGTGTTTATAGACGAGCTAAATGACAAAGATTCTCTGTAGACGAGCTGGAACCCAGGGAGTCTCCATAGACGAGCTGGTGGCCAGGGAGTCTCCATAGACGAGCTGGTGGCCAGGGAGTCTCCATAGACGAGCTTGTGGCCAGGGAGTCTCCATAGACGAGATGAAGGCCGGGGAGCCTCTATAGACGAGCTGAAGGCCAGGGAGTTTGTAGAAGCTGAAGGCCAGGAAATCTCTAGAGGCAAGCTGAACACCAGGGAGTCTCTAGAGGCGAGCTGAAGGCCAGGGAGTCTCAAGAGACGAGCTGGTGGCCAGAGAGTCTCTATAGACGAGCTGGTGGCCAGAGAGTCTCTATAGACGAGCTGGAGGCCAGAGAGTGTCTATAGACGAGCTGGAGGCCAGAGAGTGTCTATAGACGAGCTGGAGGCCAGAGAGTGCCTATAGACGAGCTGGAGGCCAGAGAGTGTCTATAGACGAGCTGGAGGCCAGTGAGTCTCTTTAGACGAGCTGCAGGCCAGACCTCGGGGGGTCTGTGAGATTTTTTCTAGGCGAAGAAAAGAGTGGATCTGTGAGTTTTTTTTTACAGAACCTCGAATGGGTCTGCGAATGGGTCTTGACTCCTTGTCCGACCCTCGTATAATTCAACAATTTTCGTTTCGCAAAAGAAAAAAATCCGATTGCGTAGTTTTATTGTCATCGCCCTGAAACCCAGCAGCAAAAAACATGCACACAATTGTATTTTAGTTTTGTTGTTGTTGTTGCTGCCTGGTAGCAGCAACAGCTAAACAGTCAATAGTGCAACAGTAGCAGTTGCTTGCCTCCAGTTGTGTTCTTTGCTGTTCTGTCTGGCAACCGCCAGCCAGCCTCCTTCCCAGCTCAGCTCAGCTCGGCTTGTAAAATATGAGAAAAGTTCATTGAACGCTATAGAACTTGATTGTATTTCGTTTGCTCTTTTCTGCCTTCTTCTACTTCTCTTCGCCGTGTTCGCTTTGGCTTCTCGAGTCGCAGCAACATTTTAATTGATATAAGCTTTTGAGTTATTCCTTTTGTAGGACATACTAATGGCTGGGTGGATGTTTAGATGTTAGTTGGAGGGAGGGGAGGGGAAACAAAGAAAGAAATGTTTTCTTTTTCTGGGGAAACTATTTTTTTAGAAAAAAATTCCGTCGTCTTCCTCGTTCCAGCAACAGTTTCTTGGAAGGATTTTTTCTTTCCATTTTTCCGGAATTTCAAAGACATTTTTATGCTGGAGCACAGCTTGTTGTAAGAAGCTGTTGCAGGAAGCCGAGACAAAGAAACATTTAAAGCGCAAAAATCGCAAACCATTTCCTAGAGTATTTCTGGAAAATAACTACGGGAAGAGAGGAGGAGACAGAGGAGGGGGAGGGAGCGACAATGATAAAATATGTTGCCGCATAATGCTAGGAACACAATTGGAGCGAACGACGAATTTCGCCCTACGCGGCGACAAAATGAGCCGCGAAAATTCGTCGTATGGAACACAATACCGACGAAATTATAAAACAGCTGATGAAGTTGTTTACTTTTTGCTCATTTGTTGACTACAATGAATTATACAAGAACACATAATTCTTTACGTTCTCTATTATAATTTCACTTATGTCCATCTTCTCTATTATAAATTCACTGATATCCATCTTCACTCAGGCGCAAGTACACAAATAAATAAACAAATTAATTATGTTTTTTTATACGAGTAACAGATAGTAGAGTGACCATAACAAATTTTAAAGTAAAAAGTAACTTTATTTACTAAAACACATAAAATTCGTACAAGTATGGCCACCTTGTACTGTTTTGTTCGCCGGTCGCCGGCGTATGAAATAGAAATAAAGCTAATTGAGTTCGCGGCGACCGACGAAATTTTCGCCGGTGCCGTGATTGTGTGCACCTCCATATACACATATGTGTTTTATTTTTGACGACGAACATACGCCGCGAAAAAATTCGTCGTTCGCTCCAATTGTGTTCCTAGCATAATTGTGCCTTTGTTACATCTCGGAGGGAGAGAGAGAGACATGTGTATGCGTGTGTGTGTGTGTGTAAATTACATTTATTTACATCCCCCACAAATCATCTGAAAATCTACAAACATTTCCATGGCCAGTAAATCTGGATTTAATGCCCGATTCCAAATCCAACTACAATACAAGCCAAATGAGGAGAATAGAAGCGTAACCGTAACCACATTTTAATGCTACTCTGAAACTGCCAATGCTAATGACAATGAAGAAGATAAAGATGTAGTTGAAGAGGATGGTGATGATGATGAGATGTGGCTGGGAAAGATGAAAAGTAGTCGATATGAAAGGAGCACCAGCAGAAGAAGAAGAAGAAGTAGTACCCACATTAAGTGTAGGTAGGTGGATAGTAGTTCTAAATAATGATTACTTCTAGCTACTCTTCTATGCTCTGCGGTGTTGTTGGTAGTGGTGATTGGTGTACCATTTAACTATCTTCTTGGGGGAGCTATTGCTGATGATACCACTTACCTTTTCCCTGGGAGATTCACTGCCGTTACACGATGACGTTGACGTCGTACGATGATAACCATTTAGGGTTGCCGTGGTAGCTGTTGAGGACAACGTTGAAGACATAACCATTCCAGCCGAGGTTGGCTGTTGCTGGTGGCCGCCGCCAGACGGCGATGATGGTGTCGTTGGATACCCGGCCGTCACCGGCGATGAGGGCGGCGGTGGCTGATGCACTAATTGTATCTTTCCTTGAGATATTTTAATATAATTGGTGGGTGGTGCGAACGCATTCGCATGCAAATCATCTTTGTCATCGTCTTCGCATTCTTTGATGCCAAGTTGTCTGCAAGAAGAGAACGAGAAAAGAAAACAAAAATGAGACAAAGAAAAACAGCAGAACAAGCCATGAAGGAGACACTTGCCAGACAAACAATTAAATATTAAATAAAAAATGCAATGCAGAAAAATATGAAATTGTCTGTCATACATGTCTGGTGCTGTGATGATGGAGTTGGGGGTAGAGAGGAAGAGAGATAAGGACAACAAAGTGTGTGCCTGTGCTTTGTCCCCCATTTTTTCCTTTAGTTACATGTTCAAGAAGGGTAACAGAAATGAGTGAGGGAACTATTTTTAGATATTTAATGGAGATTTTTAAAACTGCTTTAAATAGAGCTATTCTGGGAATACGCCTAATGAAGACATCCGGGAGATTGGTGCCCAGAAACGAGTAATGAAGATATGGAACTTAAAGAGTTGTTACAACTTAATTTAGATTATTATTTGGACACAAAAAATTCAAGGATACACCGAGAGGGTTAATCTTTGAATTTGAGCTGTTTGAAAACAGGCCAGTAACAGTACTTCATATATGAAAATCGGTACATTTTTATGGAAAAAAATCTCGCAAACACTCCAGAAAAAAATCTCACAGACCCTCCAGGGTCTGTAGACTTTTTTATTCGCATTGAAAAAATCTCACAGACCCTCCAGGGTCTGTAGACTTTTTTTTCGCATAGAAAAAAATCTCACAGACCCTCCAGGGTCTGTAGACTTTTTTCGCATAGAAAAAAATCTCACAGACCATCCAGGGTCTGTAGACTTTTTTCGCATAGAAAAAGTCTCACAGACCATCCAGGGTGAGTAGACTTTTTTCGCATAGAAAAAATCTCACAGACTCTCAAGGGTCTGTAGAATTTTTCGCATAGAAAAAATCTCTCTCTGTAGACTTTTGGCCTCCAGGTCGTCTGTAGAGCCTGACCTCCAGGTCGTCTACAGAGCCAGGCCTCCAGCTCGTCTATAGGGACTGCTCCCTGACCTCCAGCTCGTCTATAGAGACTCTGTGGCCCCCAGCTCGTCTATAGAGACTCTGTGGCCCCCAGCTCGTCTATAGAGACTCTGTGGCCCCCAGCTCGTCTATAGAGACTCTGTGGCCCCCAGCTCGTCTATAGAGACTCTGTGGCCCCCAGCTCGTCTATAGAGACTCTCTGGCCTCCAGCTCCTCTATAGAGACTCTCTGGCCTCCAGCTCCTCTATAGAGACTCTCTGGCCTCCAGCTCCTCTATAGAGACTCTCTGGCCTCCAGCTCCTCTATAGAGACTCTCTGGCCTCCAGCTCCTCTATAGAGACTCTCTGGCCTCCACCTCCTCTATAGAGACTCTCTGGCCTCCAGCTCCTCTATAGAGACTCTCTGGCCTCTAGCTCTTTTATGGAGACTCCCTGGCCTCCAGCTCGTTTATAGAGACTCCATGGCCTCCAGCTCGTCTATAGAGACTCCCTGGCCTCCAGCTCGTCTATAGAGACTCCCTGGCCTCCAGCTCGTCCATAGAGACTCCCTGGCCTCCAGCTCGTCTATAGAGACTCCCTGGCCTCCAGCTCTTTTATGGAGACTCTCTGGCCTCTAGCTCTTTTATGGAGACTCTCTGACCTCTAGCTTATTTATGGACACTCTCTCTAAATTTAAAATTCCACCATCTAATTCATAACTAGAATTTCCATAACTCACTACTACTTAGCAAATTTGCTCCTTTTTTTCATTTGTTGCCAGAATAACCAAACAAAAAATCCCTAATTATGTATGCAACATATTCCAATTGAAATCTTGTATTAGATTTACAACTTTTCCTTTTGATTTCATATGAATTTGTTCGTTTTCTTTTTTTTCGAAACAAATCAAAAATATGGATATCTGTCTGGCTGTCGATTCATTCACGTCAGCACAGATTTTTGAATTTCATAGCCAAATGCTAATAATGTAAATGGATATATGTGAATGAGAAGTTCATTCGACCATTAAATATGCAGATTTAATTCAATTTAATATTCAACAACAACAACAACAATAATAGTAATACCCAACAACAACAACAACCGCACATGAAAATGAAAATAAAAATTCAACGAATTTTGCAGATTAAAATGTCAATTGAAATCAATATCAGCGACGGTGTGTGAGCGAGCAGTGAACACCGATAACACCAAACCCATTGCAGTGCCGAACAGAGAGAATAGTTAACGCAATGCAATCGACAATAACAAGATAGACAAGTTGGCAAGCAACCTGGCTGGCTGTTGGCAGCCTGAATGACTGACTGCCATGCCGACATAATACGAATGTAGCCATTCATCCAAAAAAATGTATGTTATGTTGAGAAAAAAAAAAAAAAAAAAAAAAAAAAACATAAACAAAAAAATATAATAACATATCTTGTTGTTTGGAATTATTTTTAAGCTGGTATTTCGTCATAGAGAGTTGTTAAAAATAAAAAAAAAAAAAAAAATATATATATATATATATGTAAATAAATAAATAAAAATAAAAAAAATATATTTTGTATGCCGCCGTAGTCTATAGAGACTCCCTGGCCCTTCAGCTCGTCTATAGAGACTCCCTGGCCCTTCAGCTCGTCTATAGAGACTCCCTGGCCCTTCAGCTCGTCTATAGAGACTCCCTGGCCCTTCAGCTCGTCTATAGAGACTCCCTGTCCCTTCAGCTCGTCTATAGAGACTCCCTGGCCCTTCAGCTCGTCTATAGAGACTCCCTGGCCCTTCAGCTCGTCTATAGAGACTCCCTGGCCCTTCAGCTCGTCTATAGAGACTCCCTGGCCCTTCAGCTCGTCTATAGAGACTCCCTGGCCCTTCAGCTCGTCTATAGAGACTCCCTGGCCCTTCAGCTCGTCTATAGAGACTCCCTGGCCCTTCAGCTCGTCTATAGAGACTCCCTGGCCCTTCAGCTCGTCTATAGAGACTCCCTGGCCCTTCAGCTCGTCTATAGAGACTCCCTGGCCCTTCAGCTCGTCTATAGAGACTCCCTGGCCCTTCAGCTCGTCTATAGAGGCTCCCTGGCCCTTCAGCTCGTCTATAGAGGCTCCCTGGCCCTTCAGCTCGTCTATAGAGACTCTCTGGCCCTTCAGCTCGTCTATAGAGACTCTCTGGCCCTTCAGCTCGTCTATAGAGACTCTCTGGCCCTTCAGCTCGTCTATAGAGACTCCCTGGCCCTTCAGCTCGTCTATAGAGACTCCCTGGCCCTTCAGCTCGTCTATAGAGACTCCCTGGCTTTCAGCTTGTTTATAGAGACTTCCTGGCCTTCAGCTCGTCTATATGGACTCTCTGGCTTCCATTTCGTCTAAAGAGACTCCATGGCTTACGGCTCGCCTATAGAGACTCCCTGGTCTTCAGCTCTTCTGTAGAGACTCTCTGACCTTCAGCTCTTCTATTGAGACTCCCTGGCATTCAGGTCGTCGATTGAGACTCACTCGCCTTCAGCTCGTCTCATCTATAGACACTTCCTTAATCTCATCCAAAGAGATTCTATTCAGCTCATCCTTACCACTTCGAGCCATATTACTGATAGTATCCTCTTAAACACGCCAAAAATATTTTTTTTGAAACCCCCAAAAAATCTCCAAAGATATAATTGAAAATTCAAAATAATATCTTCGACATTTCAATGCATAAAATGACACTTCGATCTGAGGAAATGTGCAAAAAATGCCAAATGCCTTTTGATGTCGATTTTTGTGGGTTTGTTTCTCAAACGAGCAACAACACCAACAACAGCAAACAAACAAACCGAAAATGACAACTAAGAAAACTGGAAACACAAATCGCAAGAGAGCAACCAAAAGAAACAAAAAAAAAACTCCACATCAGTAGATTAATGTGCTGCTTGTCGGTTTTGTGACAGTGACGTGTCAGACGATAAATTAACGCCTAAATACAGTTGCAGTCTTCGACAAAAAGGGGTACCTGAGCCAGAGTACTTTTGCGCTCATATATGGTCTAATAAGCAATATTTGACATTTTCCATGATTATTTTCGGTGTTGTTCGGCTTATGGTTTTGAGGTGCGCACACATATGATTTTCAGTTGTTGTTGTTGCTGCTTAGTTTTTGATTATTATTTCCAAAGTAATTTAATTTAATTTAATTTACCGCTTTTGACATTTCCAGAGATTTGTATTTTGTTTGGAGTGTTTTTTTTTCGTTTTTTTCTTAGTCATATATCATTCGTCGTCCACTTATTTCCACAAAAAATAAAAAATAAATAAAAATAAAATGAAAAAGTAAACACGTTTCCATGTAAATGGGGAAGAAGTTTGTCACATCGGCAGCACCACCAACAACAGCTGTTGCAGTCATGAATGAGCCCCGCCGCAGTGTCTGGAGATTTGAGGTTGTTTGCAACGTCCAACTGTCTGCTAGAAAACTTGAATGGCCTTTAGGCAAACAGTGGTGATGTGCAAAGAAAAATTGAAATATAAAATCTGTTAAATTTTCAGCTAGCCTAGAAGTATGCATCGTACAATAACATATTTTTTTATATGAAGATACTCGTATGTAACATTTATCTAATCTTAACTATTAATCCTAAAATACCAATTCTCATTCAGAAAACATAGGTATTTTTTATCTTTTATCTGCAAATAAAAACAATCAAAAATTAGTATCGAAATCAGAGGATACCTAAAATTATGCATCACTATCTGAAATTAAATCTTTTGAAACTACAAAATAAACAATCAACATAAAAATGATTTACATAAACGGATGCTAAAATAAGGGAGATCAAAAATTGTTGGTCTGCCTAAAAGTATGCACCAGAATTCATGCTAGTTTAGACCATAGAAGAATAAAATCGATACACTTAGCTTCTGGAAAATGTATTTTAAAACAGACTCCAAGCTTCTAGAAAATGTATTTTAACACAGACTCCAAACGACGTATACATGCTTTAATAATGCACTTTTAAATTCTAGGGATAAATCATCGACTGCCTAAAAATATGCACTATAATGTGAAATAAAAATTCATAAAGGATAAAGAATCATTATGAAAATGATTGTTA